AATTCTCCGATTTCTAATTTCCCGAATTCCTAATTCCCCGATTTCTAATTCCCCGAATTCCTAATTCCCCGATTTCTAATTCCCCGCTTTCTAATTTCCCGAATTCCGAATTCCCCGATTTCTAATTTCCCGAATTCCTAATTCCCCGATTTCAAATTCCACGCTTTCTAATTTCCCGAATTCCGAATTCCCCGATTTCTAATTTCCCGAATTCCTAATTCCCTGATTTCTAATTCCCCGCTTTCTAATTTCCCGAATTCCTAATTCTCCGATTTCTAATTTCCCGAATTCCTAATTCCCCGATTTCTAATTTCCCGAATGCCTAAATCCCCGATTCCTAATTTCCCGAATTCCTAAATCATCGATTCCTAATTTCCCCAATTTCTTAATCCCCAATTTCTAGTTTCCCAAATTCTTAAATCCCCAAATTCCTAAACCCCCAATTTCTAATTTCCCACTCTCTAATTTCCCAAATTCCCAATTCCCCAATTTCCAATTACCCAAACCCACATCCACAACAAAATTACATTTGCACAATCTAAACTCTATCCCCCCAAAGAATCTCATACATATCCTTATGAACACTCTCTCAAGAAATTAATCGTGTCACAGAATTAATGAAACAGATAAAATGGCGGCCATCATTTGCCCATGTCCATTAGATAAGACAGCGAAGAAATTGCAATTAACTCGAATTGAAACGGCATTATCTCGCACGCGATTGAGCCTCGTAAAGGGTTTCGTCGCCCACGCGTCCACGAAGATGGCGCGTGACCATGGAACGCACCAGAATTCGCAGTTTATGGGGAATCGATACGAGCGTAGTTTTGTTAACGGCCGCATTAAGCTATCACGTGAGAGTGCCATTACCGTAGCGATCGTAAGTAACAACGAAGTAACGATGCTGCGACTTGTTAGCACGCGTGTACCATCCTCAAAAGCAAACTTTCCTTTTACACTAAATCGTACGGGAATGCAAACGAAGCGCCTAAACTTTGGTCGGAAATGTTCGATTATTTCATGGAACGAACGCTGTAGGAAACGTTTTGTTGGAACAGTTTAGTGGTTTTAGACGATGTATCGTTGGATGCTGGACACCGTTTTTTTTAGCTTATTTTATATGAGAGGAGGACTTGGTTAAGTTTATTGTATAGAGAGTTGGTTATAGGGAATTTAGTTTGCTTACTAGATGCATGTGAAATGGTCCATTTATGAATTTGACAATATGGAGGCAACAAAATGGTAGCTGTGGGGTGTTCATTTTTAGCTGGAAGCTCGGTAGAAGTAGTACTATTAATATTTTATCGATATGTGTACTACAAAATGGCGGACTACTTGTTCAAATAAATGATTAACTATTTTAAAAGATGTAGAGTCTAATATAGTTTCATGACATAAAAGTAGCACTTATGGTATATCAGTATTTAGCTAGAAGCTTTATAAAGGTAAACCTAATAACATATTATCGATATGCGTGCTATAAAATGGCGGACTATTTATTCAAATAAAATAATCAACCATTTTGAAAGATTTAGAGTCCAACATAATTTCATGACATAAAATTGAGTCTAATATAGTTTCATGACATAAAAGTAGCACTTATGGTATATCAATATTTAGCTAGAAGCTTTATAAAGGTAAACCTATTAGCATTTTATCGATATGCGTGCTATAAAATGGCGGACTATTTATTCAAATAAAATAATCAACCATTTTGAAAGATTTAGAGTCCAACATAATTTCATGACATAAAATTAAAACAAACTAGCATGTGTGATACATCAATTTTAAGTTTGAAACTCAACAAACAAAATACTACTAAATTTTATTCCTATTCTTCAAACAAAATGGCTGCCAGTGAGTCTAATATAGTTTCATGACATAAAAGTAGCACTTATGGTATATCAGTATTTAGCTAGAAGCTTTATAAAGGTAAACCTATTAACATTTTATCGATATGCGTGCTATAAAATGGCGGACTATTTATTCAAATAAAATAATCAACCATTTTGAAAGATTTAGAGTCCAACATAATTTCATGACATAAAATTAAAACAAACTAGCATGTGTGATACATCAATTTTAAGTTTGAAACTCAACAAACAAAATACTACTAAATTTTATTCCTATTCTTCAAACAAAATGGCTGCCAGTTACACCAAACAATATCTGTTTTCAAAAAATATAAAACCTGATACGATTTCATAATATCACATAGTGCGCATTAATTAAATGTATAAAATTTCACAAAAACAACTGCATAAACGTACCATCAATATTTACAACAGAAAATGGCTCATTTTTCGTTGGAACAAACACTGAACCGATTTATAGCTTATTTATATTTATGCACCCTTTTTCAAAGGGTACATAAAAGTGCAAATTGTTTATGAGATAGCAAATAAAAGGGTGCATTTTAGGGTATAAGAGATCGAAAATTGGATATTCGTTCACCGATAAATTCGTCGATTGTCCGTTTCAATGGAGAGCCGACCATTTTGAATGATGAATATTGATGAGGCGTTTATGTAGTCATTTTCATCAAATTTCGTGCTTCAAATTAATGTACTATAAGTAGTATTTTGCACAACTTTTATGTCATCGAATCCTTTCGAACTTTATCACATCTGATCTCGAAGTCACATCGAGTCGTGATCACTTCGAGATCAGTCATTGTTTATTATAACAGTTGGACATTTTTGACATACTCAATTAAATTCATGTAGACGTATAGACATTTTCTTAGTTTATAAACGTTGAACTTAAACTTCAAATTGACATATCACAAGTGCTATTATGTCATAAAATTCTATTAGAATATGTGAATATGTCTTTCCACATATGTTTCAACGTTGATATATAACATAACCTATATCTTTTCGAACATATGTAATACGAAGTGTTAATAAAATTGAAACTATGTTATTTTATAATCATTAAAATGTAGCTAAGGATAATTAGAAGTTCGTGAATTATTTGTTAAGGATGGATTTCCAACGAGACGTCAGACTCCTAGCAGCCCTGGAGGACCGCAATATAGCAAGAGTCCTTGGAGCCTGCTGTCGCGAGGAACCATACTGCATAGTAATGGAGTACCTAGAACACGGAGATCTTTGCCAATTTCTCAAAACTCATATCACTGCCGAAGATGCTCATTCCATGCCCATTGGCGTCAAAACACTCAGGTACCTACATAATTACTATTTTTTAAATTGCAAATTATCGTTCACCTTCTTTCTGAATTTTCAAACATAATTTTCTTCTTAAATTTTCAAACTTCATTTTCATATTTTAAAGGTAGCTAAATACTAGAATTTTCGAGGACCACCTCAGAAACTTTGTTATATTTAATAACATTGTAGTCTATTCGTTAAAAAACCACCCTTTGGCAAAACCACTCTCTGTCCTATAAAATCAAATTCTGAGTAATATTATATTAATAATATAATATTATAATGTATGACAATAGTATAATCCTTCCTTAATTATTCCTCAAAGTAATATATTTGAAGCTAGTATTTCCGTGCCACCCAGTATACAAGACGCCAAAGGTATCGATACGAAGCGAATCCGAAGGAAACGGCGCGTGAAAATTAATCAAACGCAAGAATTTCAATAATTCCTGCGAAACAACGGGCATGTTCATCACGGAGCCCCGAGATTTAGTTTCATCCGCTGTGGCAAGGTGTCGCGAAGTTAACACCCAATAAGTTTCTCTCTGTAACAAACTTTGAAGCGTTTATTAATCGTGAGCGACATAGTCTTCGTGCAACGAAGCAACCACCTTTTCGCGTTCCGTCGTTTCCACGACCCTCTCTTTGGCCAACACCCCCGTATTTTCCTCCAACCTTAACTTTGTCCTCTCTTGCAACTGAGGTCGTTTCCTCGTTTCAGTTTCAACTGTCTCATCTACATGGCCGCTCAGATCGCGTCGGGCATGCGGTACCTGGAGAATCTCAACTTTGTTCACCGGGATCTGGCTACTAGGTGAGTACTCGACTTCCACAGAACCTGTCCGCAGGATCTCTTTTTCCCACGAGGATAAACGTGTCTTAGCATCCGAACTGTCATCGTTACCTTACGGGATTGTCGCTGACACAATACAGGGAATTGGAACGGAGAAAATATTGTTTCGACTTCGGGACAAAGTTGCGAGGAAGTTACTTGTAAAATTTTGTGAATATAGAATGATGGTGTGTGAGCGTAAAAATGGTCAGTTCTACAATTCTGCATCTGTACTCTTCCCAATTTATAAATTGAATAAATGTATCAGTATGTGGTAAATAAGTATTGAAATCTGCATTTAAGAACTTTGATTATAACTGAAAGTGTGAATAGGTTTACATTGCGTCTACAGGGTGCCTCACAACTAGTGTACGCGCTCAGTCACTTGGCTCGAAGACGTCATTGTACAAGGTGTATCAAAATTAGTGTAGGTCCTTGAAATGGTAGCTGACGTGATTCTGAATAAGATTTCCCTTTGCAAAAATGGGGTTTGAAGCTTAGTTTCTGAATTATTAAGGAAAAACACGGACCAATCAGAGCGCGAGGATTATTACGCGTTAGACTATTACGCATCGAATATCCACGCGTTGGATTACTACGCGTTGGATATCCACACGCTGTATTAGTAAGCGTTGGATTACTACGCATTGGATTACTACGCGTAGGATTACCACGCGTTGCATTACCACACGTTGCATTACTATGCGTTAGATTACCATGCAGTAGATTCCTACGCTTAGAATTACCACGCGTTGCATTATTAGGCGTTG